GCCTGACCCCATCAGTGCCGACCCAACTACACCACCACGCGCATGCCTCGCGGCGGATATGCGCAGCAGCAAGAAGGTTTCGGTCATCCCTTGAGGGTGAGTCTAGCCCTGCTCGCCAGAAAGACCCCCCCCTTCGCTACAACCCATGTCTAAGCAAAAGCTTGTCGAGGAGCGAGGGGAAGAAGGGAGACTAAGAGGGCGCTGAATATATTGTTGGCTTGACACATTTTTTGGGGCATCTTTCGGTGTTTTTCAAGGTTGTAATACAAGGGTGTCGCTGTTTTTTTGTGGTGCTTTAACACATGAATTAGGGCCTCGCTCGGGGTTTTTAATGGGGTTTTAATACGGAAGAGTACGGACAGCCTGATACTGGAAGAAGAGCAGCGGGGTACTTGGCAGGTATTAATTACATCGTGTGCAAATTGAACTGTCAGTACCGTAAATGATTGTAGAGACGACACTTAATACAGAATCCAGATTCATGAGCTTGGCAATCAACGACACCCCTCTCCGCGAACAAACACTGCTGTGCAACAAATAAGCGCAAAAAAAAAGTTTTTCGACTTTTTTCTTGGAACAGAAAAAAAGCGGGAGAGGTCCCGTTCACCCCCACCAGTATCAAGCACTGTGCAGAAAATAAGCGCAAAATAAACGCGTTTTCGACAGTTTTCATGAACAGAGATCCTGTATCAGCCACACCAGAGACCACACATCCATCGGCGAGGAAGGAGGTGTGTGAAGCCGTGGACAGAGAGCGTATTTTACACAAACATCCCTGTCTGTTTTAAGAGCTGAATGCATTTTTTGATAAAATGCCCCAGGGTACGTGCCCCCACCCGAATATATGTACGGGGCCACCGACCCACAATGGCACACATGGCAGGCAATCAACAGCAGTAGCTAGTGTGCGCATTGTACTCAAGAACGACGGGTTCCAGCTCCACCGCGCGTCCACCGTGCCTGCAAATCGAACGTGCTATCAAGTGAGGGGGTAGAAAGTGCAGGGAAACCCTCCGCGGAACGTTTGTTGCAGTCTTCCAGAACTCTAGTTGGTCGCGCAGCTGCCATTTAGCACGTGGCGCGCAGCCAACGAAATTTCGCAACAGGGCGCATGCTGCAACCCCAGAGAATTTTCGCGCGTGGCGTGACAAGCTCGTTTGGACGCCTTCCCACCTTTATTTTATTTTCCGCCGAAGTCGTGTTGCGTTCTTTATTTTTTATTTGCATTTTTGCTGCCCAAGTGCTTTGCGATGTGGTTAATTAAAGTAGCACTACGTTTGCAGCACATGCTTTATACTCTTGTGCTGAGTTGGCGAAGAAGTTGGAAGCACTTTGTAGCATCGTTCAAGCTAGATGGTCTGCGGCATAATTTTGATGCTGCACAACACAAAAGCAGCTGCGGACGCAACAAGTTGTCCGCGAGTTATGCGCAGAGGGTGCCATCCCGCTGGCAAACCAATGATCTTTTCAGAACTTCAGTTGCTATACACACTGGTGCAGCAGCATGTGACTACCGTGGCGCAACAGTTTCGAGCAGCGGGCATAGAGTCTTCGTGACGAACCTAGTTATTTTTCTCGTCATGATGTACCCAAACGTATGCGCGGGCAGACATGTCGTGACGTTGTCCCCTAATTACATATGATTTTTGTCACCTTTCTTATATTCGTTCGCGTGTGGTGCCACTCTGCCGCGTGTTTTCGTTAAGTCTCAGCAAGAGGTCTGCGTCCGGGAGGATAAGCGGCGGCGGGAATGCAACGCGCTCCCGCCAATGGAGGCCAAGTGGGCCTGGCAGCCGCCGTGGACCCCACCACAGCCGAGGTACGTATTATTTTCACACGAAAGACTTCGCGTTTAGAGGTTTGATGACTATTTTTGTAGTCCAAAGTACCGGTGGGGTCCTACCCTTCTGTGCGACCACGGATCAGAGCTCTGGCAAGATGCCCCTGCGAGCGATGGTTAAATGTGATACCTCCGTCGCCCCGGTGGTTCAGTTGGTGACCCCGCAGCCTCTGAAGTTTGGGCCGTGAGTTCGAACACTTACCCTGGGTATGTTTTCTCACATCATGCCCGAACAAGTGGAGAACGCTTTATTCGTAGGTAAAAAAAATCCGACTTCACGGTCGGCGAGGGAAGTGATGGCTGAGCCCTTCTCGCGATAAAAAATGAAGGCAAGAACCGCAGAGAGAAGGTGGAGATTGTGTGATGTGTGACCTTCCTCTTGTGTGACCCAGGCTGATACGTCAAACGTATGCACCGAAAGGTGTGTAGACTGACGCCAGAATAGAAGGGAGTAACAACACACACACGCACAACTCAATCCTCGAACTCAATTCTGAGTTCCATCCCTCCCTCCCTCCCTCTCCCGTGCACAGCGTCTTGAGCATGTTGGTAGGTTGCTCGCCAAAAGAAGCCTTGGCCAGCCTTTCTGCACCTCGGAGCTCGAGCATGGAGGAGTTGGAGGCTTGCCCCAGCCCCGTCCAGGAGGCTCTGCCATGGATGGCGACATCTGCAGTTGGGGTCCTCGACATTGCGAGCGTTGGGCCATTAGAGCCTGTGTGTCAGGCATTCAAGGCGCTGATCGAGGCCGCCGAAGGTGCAGTCGAATCCCAGGAGAAGCTACAGAGCTTGGTGTCCCGGTGCAGATTCCTCACAACCGTCTTGATTCGACACCGTCGAGCGGTTGATCCCCTCGCTCAGGTGCAGACGCCCATCGGGGACTTCGTCGTCACGACCAACAAGCTGGCAGCATTCGCAGAAAGTGGTCCAGGGGTGGCAAGTGCAGGGCGTTTTTTTTGCCATCGCACCGACCTGAGCACCCTCACCGACTTTGAGGAGGGTCTCCGCAGGATCGGCGCCGACATCAACTCGGAAGACGGGCTGGAGTATCACCAGCAGTCAATCGGACTGGGTCGCGCGTTGCTCCCACCAAGCTTGCCGGACATGGCCGCAGTCCCCGCAGGAGCGCTTGCGTTGCCCCACAGCTACGTGGAGCGCGCCGCGGTACAAGAAGTTGCTGACGGCCTCACCAACCCGGAGGAGCCGCGTGCCCCCTACTCTGCTGTCGGGATGGGTGGAGGGGGGAAGAGCGTGCTTGCCTCTGCTGTCGTGCGCAAGTCGAGCGTGACTCAACACTTCCGTGGGGGTATTTTCTGGATGAGAGTGGGGAGGGGCGCAACGAATAGCATCCTGCCCCTCCTACAGGGTCTGGCCAGGGAGATGGGCGCTGGGGCATCCACGGGCCTCCCCACGCCTCGTGGTGCTGGATGACGTGTGGGAGCCCGAGGTTGTGGACGCGCTTCTTCCTCTGGGATTGAAGGTGCTTGTGACCACGATTGATCGGTCGGTTCTTGGCGTGTCGTCGGGATGCGTGGAGGTGGGAGACATGACGGAGGGAGAGGCGCTGGAGCTGCTGCGGAAGACGAGTAGGACTGTGGGTCAGCCTGGGGACGCTGTCCGGACGTAGATGACCAAGGTGATGGATGCGCGTTGAATCTTACGTCGAGGTAGGGTGTCGTGGTATTTTTTTTAGCTGGTGTTATGACTCCTTCTCATTTTGAGCGTAACATCGTTGGGGGCTTTGGTGCTGGGTGGACCCACATTGTCACACAGCATGGAGTTGGAGGATGTGAGGAATGTTGACAATAGTATTGGCCCTCCCGAGAACCGGTACCTACGTCGTCACATGGAGTACAGTTGTGAAGTACTATGAAGTATAATCGTCGAGCTCGATTCAACCCCGATCCAGGTCGTTGCGCTCTGTGGACGTCTACCGTTGGTGCTCGCGATCGCGGGTTCCATGCCCGTCGTGAAAGGAAGGGCTTGACCGCCGGCGCATGGGGAAAGCTGATCGAATTAGAGGATGTTGCTACGAAGATGGAGGCTTCCGACGAGGACTCGGATAGTCTTAATGTCGTCCTCGAGACCAGCTTCAATGCCTTGACGTTAACGAAGAAGAGGGAGTTTAAGAAGTCGGCTGTGTTGGCGCCGGGTGCCGTTGTGTCGACCGAGATGCTGCTAAACCTGTGGGAGACAAAGGTGCGTTGTGGGTTCCCTTGTGCCATGTGGTTGAACGTCTGGAACTCGTGTTTTGTGAGTTGCTTTAAAGATTGCACGTGCGCTTTTTTCACACGCTGTCTCGTCTGTGCTGCGTATTGACCTCGGTGCATACCTTCCCCGGTGTTCAATGTGCAGGACACGGGGGGTACGCGAGAGGAAGCTGAGGGTCTGGTAAGCAAGTGCCTACCTGCACGATGTGGGTGGTGGTGGGTACCGTGTTCATGACCTCGTCCTGGACTTTGTGAAAATCAAAATCGAGGCAGACGTGGAGATGGTGGAGAAGGCCACAACGCTTCAGGCGCATTTCCTCGGAACACTAGACGTGCTAAAGGACTACGAAAACCCAGAGCATGGTGCTGACAACCAAGGCTTGTTCGTTCTGGATGCCCTCTGGCGCTCGGTGGAGAAGCTCTCGGGAGACTCGGAACTGGAAGTTGCCTCGTACAGCACCAGCCTCGGGGAGTTGGAGTCGTGCAAGGCGACCACGGATGTGGCTAGTTCCTACTCGTTCGTCGGCTTTTTGTTCAACATCCAGGTACGGCACTGTTTGGGGATTCCGCAATGTTCGCTCCGTGTTCTTTGTGTGGCATTTAATGGTGTAACGGCGCTGTACCAAATGCGGGTTTCTACCTACTCGGTCTGGTCAGCTGTTTGTTCATTTTTTTGCTTTGATGTACGCATATATTTTTGTGCTTTTTTCTTCTCGCTCTGGGTAAACCGCTGCCTTACAACAACCCATTGCTGTTTGCACAGGGCGAGTACACCCAGGCTGAACCGCTCTACGAGAAGTCACAGGCCATCCAAGAGAAGTTCTTGGGTCAGGAGCATTCAGATGTGGCTACGTCGCTCAACAACCGTGGTTGTTGAGCATTTGTTCCTCCGTAGCAAACTCTTCCCACTGCGTTTCCCCCTCGCTTTTTATGGCAAGTACGAAGACGCCGAACCTCTGTACGAACGAGCTGCTGCGATCAACGAGGCCGTTCTTTGCCGACAATGTCACATGTCGGGTTTGTTTAAACTGGTAGCCGAGTACGGCGCCGATGTGAACCGCTACGGATTGCTGTCTACGGGTATACTTCCTCTGTCCCATATGTCTGTCGCGTTCTGTTTGTACGAGCCCTTAGCCGTGTCCGATTTGATTTTCGTTTTTTTGTTGATTTTGTAGTGTTTTTTTTAGTAAGAATCACTTTTTATTTTTGTTTTTTCAGCTGGTGCTTGAACCATGTGGCCGAACGACCGAAAAAAATTGGAGGATTCTATTTACGTCACCGGTGGCGATATTTCTTATATACGTCACTGCCCGTATCTCAGCCCACAGAGCTTCAATTGGCACAAAATAAATTGCGTTGTGAAGCTATGACCCACACCAATCATACAAGCCTTTCGACGGTCAAATCCGATCAGTGGTTGCGGAGATTTGCTCAAAAGGGGGCTCAGCAGTATGATACTGCATCTACCACAAAAAAATCCGACTGTAGCTTCGCGCAGAGAGCTCCGATCGACACCAATAGCTTAAGTGATGGCTGTGAATCGTGGAAACACAACGCGAGTTACATAGTTGGTGTCGATGAGAACTCTCTGCGAGGAGACATGGTCGTTTTATTTATGGCAGATACAGTATATCATACCGCTGAGCCCCCTTTTGAGCATATCTCCGCAAGCACTTATCGGATTTGACCGTCGAAAGGCTTGTATGATTGGTGTGGGTCATAGCTACACAACGCAATTTATTTTGTGCCAATTGAAGCTCTGTGGACTGAGGTACGGGCGGTGACGTATATAAGAAATAACGCCACCAGTGACGGAAATAGTTTTTTTCAAAAAAATTCAGTCGGCCCCAAAACGGGCGTATTCCGCCCCTATTTCCAGTCTTACATCGGAGACCCGGAAACAATCGCGGAAATTGTTGAAGAAATGCGAAAATCGCAAAACGACCATTGATTTTTTATATCTCCGTGACGTTCGCCTACACATGCCCCATCCTACAAAAAAGAATCATGTAGTCTCATGTTCTCGACGCGAAAACGTCCAAAATCTGCCAATATTGGTTCTAAAGGGATCAATGAGGGTCAGAATGGGGTATATTTTGAAATAATTTTAGTATTGACAACTGCTTTCTCTTTTTTTTTCCTATCACCTTCCTCTGCGCTTGACCTTTCTAACAAACCCAGCTTAGGATGATCGTCAATGTTGGAATACCCGAACCATCTCACGCACATAACGCTACAGACTTATGGGACAGAGGAAGTACACCGCAATCCTTCCGTGGTGTTTGGTTTAATCAGTCTTGGCGCGGATAGAACGAGGCAGAGCTGGGATTGGCAGAGAGATGTGTATAACACTCCTCTCCACAGAGTGACGGATTGTCAACACCAGGACGTGTTCTAGGCATTGGTCCTGAATCTCTCGTTGGAGGAGTTGGGCGTGAAGGATGAGGTCGGGTCTACCCCACTGATGACGCTGATGAGCGAGACGGTGGCCTCAGTGGGGCACCTTTTGCCGCGGTTCGAGTGGTTGGTAGGCAGCGGTGCCTCGTGTCTTCCTTTCGATAACAGTGGTTAAAGAGTTTAAGAGGGAGACATTTAAAAGCTTGATCGCAGCCCGCGTGAGGGAAGAGAATTGGGCTAAGCGTCGAGGATTTGTGCTTTTGCTCAGGCGCGATGCCAGGGTTGGGGACGGCAACGATGATTCTTTGGTGTTGGGACTGCATAGTTATAGTTTCTTGCGGAAATCGGGGTGTTAAAGCATGTGGTTGGGTTTTTATGATTCTTTTTATAAAAAAACAATACCATGTGCTCTACAACCGCATGAAAGCACGCGGCGCCGGCGACGCTAGTGTTACAGAATGAACGTGGCAGGCACTTAGTCTAGGAGTTTGGCTACATGAGAAAGCCTCACGAGGGACTCATGTACAGCCAATCGACGCCACATTTAGTAAAGGTATATAGGTTTTTTCCTCACATCACACCTCACGGTGGAGAGCGGTTATATCGTGCTTACACAAAATTCGACTTCATTGTTGACGAGGGAATGGCGCGACTGGGCCCTTCTCGCGATAAAACAAGAAGGCATTCACCGCCGAAAAAACTTTGGGAAAAAAACATGAAGAAAAAAAAGCCCCACACCTCCTCCTGTGTGACCCCGGCTAACACGCCCAGTAGAAAAATACACCGAAGGGTGTATTACATACTCCGAGAGGTGTAGTTCACCGAAAAGGTGTAGACAGACGACAGAATAGATAGGACGAAAACACGCAAACACACATAGGTGCATCGGGCGTTGAAATCTGTCAAATCGAACAGGGAGACTCTCGAACATTCGGTCCGTGTATATCTCAGCTGCCGCATCACCAAAACGCAAATATCATCCCGTGGTGGCCACCACAAACACGTGCACCAGAAATAAGAATCATAGCTCAACATGCGCACCTACGACGCGTTGGGAGCAAGCACCTAATCGCGATGGGCGTGTGGTCTAGGGGGGCACCATCCATCTTGTACACGCAGCCACTTGACGCCAAGCACGCAACCCACGATCGCAAGGACGGCGTAAATGGCGGCAAGTATCGCGAGCCCAATGGCCTTCTCCAGTGGGCCTTCCCGCCACTTGTCGCCTACCTGCAGCAGGGGCGACCACGGTTGGACAAGGGCAAAAACCCCCGCCGGTCTCGAGAAAACGTTCTTGAGCCACTCCGGTGTCGACCACGACGAACGAAGCATCTGCGGGAAGTGGACAAAGAGAAGGTTTGAGTATTTCGTTGAGGTTCGGATATGGACGTTTACGGGTCATGGCCGGTACGCGCGTCCTGGAAGATCAAGTCCGATGCCATCAATACCAAAAACAAGACTTGCACGATTTGTTCGGCACCGCAGTAGCCGTGTACGTGAACTTCACATGTGACGTCCCGTTACATAGTACGCAATACACCGCCATGGGAAGCTTTCCCTGTCTTGTCTATCGTCACGTTTGCAGTAACCGCTGTCGCAGGAAGAGGCTTCGATCTCGTTTTCGCTCGGTCATTCACACCTCATACAATGTTTTTCCGATCAGGGCATCGAGAGTTTTTGTCTGGATTCCCCCCTGCAACTTCCCGCGGATTGAGAGGGCCCGCATGCACAGTTGAAATGCCTCGGTGTGCCTTCCCTGCAAAATTCAATCCAGTGCACAAACGGCACACATGAAAAGAGTCAGAGGTAACACAAGAGTCACCCGGTAGAACATGGGATCACGTTTGTGTCGTCGAAATCACGGACGGTGTCACATTATTTGCCTTCAACAAGCCAGTGTACTCTTACCTGTTGGTACAACAACGCCGCCCCGTTTGTTGAGCAAAACGACCTCCACAGACCACCACAAGAAAATTCCTCAAGAAACCCGATGGCTCGAACCTGACTCTCCAACACCTACGCCCGGTTGATGACCCCTACAACATCCACAGGGCACCGCTCGAAGTATTCTGGGAATTCTGACGGCTCTCACCTGACTCTCCAACAACGCCGCCCCGGTTGTTGAGCAAAGACATCCCACCGTAATAATATTCTTCGAATATCATGTCTTCTCCCACCTATCCCTCTTCTCCGAGATTTCCCACGAATACCACCAACAAACACGCGCAAGCGTGGGTGGCGGGGACGCGTGTGTTGAAGCACACGTGTCCCCGTCAGGTCGAGGTCGATTCGGGGAAGATCTAAGCAAAGATCGTACATATCCTGAAGGAGTTGGGCTACCACAGGTTTTGCACCGACTGAAAATCGCAGGAAGCAGCAGGGGGAATCCGACCAAGCACAGAGAAGAGAAAGCAGAGATAGCAAAGACAGCATCGACAGGAGTGCAGTGGAGACACGTGCGCAAAGACACACACACACGTCGGTGCGTGTCCCGACGTGCTTGCTTGAGAAAGATCCAAACAGAGTTGATCGGAGATTGTGCCCAAACGTCGGTCCTGAAGATATCCTAGGAACAGGAGTTCAGGCACCGTGAGGAGAACCGAGTGGACAAAGCGTGGAAGGAATCTGGGGAAGGGGAAACACAAGGGGTGGCTGGGAAGGGGCTGGCAGAGGTGAGAATTCGTCGAAAATTGGTTTGGATCCATAGCGGCGACGATCCACTGATCGTAGATCGACCAAAGTCGAGATCGACGGCAACTTTCCGCAGCGGAGGAGACAGCAGTAGCAGCAGCAGCAGCCGCCGCCGCCGCAGCAGCAGCAGCAGTAGTCACTCTTATCAAGCGGAGGGCAGCATCGGAACACGGGTGCAAGACACGCGCACGCGGTATCGAAGAGAGCTTTTTGAGAGGTCCAGACAAGAAAATATCTACCGGAGATCGTGCAACAACAGCCGATCTGGAAGATTCCACGGCAGGAAGAAAGCTTCACGTACCGAGAGGACGTCAAGGGGCCAAGTCCATAGCAGAGGAGGACAGCAGCAGCAGAAGCAGCAGCAGCAGCAGCAGCAGCAGCAGCAGCAGCGGAGAGAACTGCAGCGGTAGCAGCAGAAGCAGTAGCAGAGGGGGTGTCGTCGCTAGCGCAATACCAGTTGGGAGGACAGCAAGGAGGGATGTGGCGAGGGCAGCAGGGAAAGATGTCGTCGCTGGAGCAATACCAGTTGGGAGGACAGCAAGGGGGGATGTGGGGAGGGCGGCAGGGAGAAGTGTTGTCGCTGGAGCAACATCAGTTGGGAGGACAGCAAGGAGGAGTGTCTGTTCGTGGGTCTGCGAACATTGTTGTTGGATAGATGTGCTGGATGATTTTGTGTCACGCAGACTGGTAAGATAACCGTTTGATATGGGGCACCGCGATGATTCACGGGGCCCGTCCTTGCTGTGGGAGCCGTTCTTTGAGCACTCCCTCTTTCATCCGTGTGAAAAACGGTCGTCGACCTCTCGTGAAGTTAATACATCACCAAAACAGTCTCACCCGATAAATAAGTGGCGTAGGCCGCAAACACTCTAGAGTTTTGCCCCTCGAGGGAAGCCACATCGGGATGAGCTCTGCTGGAGACGAAGAGCGCGCTGCTGCGAGCGGAGAACAGATCCGCCCGCCGGTGCAGGAGGGCCGCGACGCGGAGCTTGCAAGATTGCTACGGCAGATTTCGCATTTGGCGGCCCTGGTGGAGGAGTCGGTGAAGAAGCAGGAGCCTGGTAGCGTCGTGGCGGATGCAGCCAGTAGTGGCGGCTGGGTTGCCGCCACCGGAGGCCAAGATCAGCCCCTGCTGCCGCACGGCGGAGGCGGGGGATTTCTCCAGCAGCAAGCGTGAGAAAGTGGGCAAGGACCACGGCCGCTGCTGGAAGGCGGCTGGGCCAGCAGATCGGGAGCGAACCCTGTTGGACCAGCCGGAGTGGGCCCGGGCATAGGACCGGACTACGGGGAAGCGAGGGGGTTAAACCCCCCAGGTGAGATACCCGTGATTCGAGGAAATGGAGAATACCTCGACGGCTACAGCAGTAGCCACATGAAGAGGGTAACGGTGAATGCTCCGCTCCTAGACGGAAAAAGCCGTAGCCACGGATTTGACTCGTGGCGAAAATCATTCATCCAAGCTGCGAAGACCANTGTCAATGCTCCGCTTCTAGACGGTAAAAAGCCGTAGCCGCGGATTTGACTCGTGGCGAAAATCGTTCATCCAAGCTGCGAAGACCATCGACTTGGACGGGCAGTT